GGTTTGGGCGGGGTGCTGGTCCTGCGGGCGGGTCCTGCCCCTCAGGGGGGAAATAACCGCTGTGCGCTCCCTCTGCGCTCGTTGTACCCCCCGAACAGGTGGTTTCAGGCCAGTTCAAGTCCCTGCCGACTGGAAGAAAGGACTTATTAAGCCCGTATTTAAGAAGGGTAGAAGGGAGGCCCCTGGGAGCTGCTGACCTGTCAGCCCCACCTCTGCGCCCGGGAAATTCATGGAACAGATCCTCCTAGAAGACATGCTGAGGCATGTGGGGGACACAGAGGTGATCCAGGCCAGCCAGCACGGCTTTACCAGGGGCAAATCCTGCCTGACCAACCCAGTGGCTTTCTGCAGTGGAGTGACTGCATCAGTGGGCAAGGGAAGGCCTATGGACGTCCTCTCTGCAGGGCCTTTGACACAGCCCCCAGCATCCTTCTCTCTAGGTTGCAGAGATCGGGGTTTGATGGGTGGATAAGGAATTGGGTGGAAGGTAACATCCAGAGTGGTCACTGGCTCGACGTGCAGATGGAAAACGGTGATGTGGTGTCCCTCAGGGGTCAGCGTTGGTTAATACCTTCATTAGTTATATTGAGAGTGGCACTGAGAGCACCCCCAGCAAGTCTGCTGATGACCCCAAGCTGGCTGGTGCAGTTGATATGCCAGAGGGGCAGGATGCCATCCAGAGGGACCTGGAGGAGTGGGCCCGTGTGAACTTCATAAGGTGTTGGAGGCCCCATCTATGGAGACATTCAAGGTCAGGCTTGATGGGGCTCTGAGCAACCTCATCTAATTTTAAAAAGTCCTTGTGCACTGCAGGGTGAGGTGGACTAGATGACCTTTATAGGCCTCTTCCAACCCCATACATTCTGTGATCCTATGAAAACACAAGTGAGCTCAGCCCTGTCATGTGGAAACAAAATCATAATGCTGCCATGTGTGTAAATCTTTACATGATGGAGCAGCTTTTCTATAATTTCAGCTTTTTTTTTTTCCTGCTTCTACACCAGTTAGCTCTAGGTGGTAGGTTCTTTTGTAGTGATATACTTGTATCCCTGGCCATGCTCAAGAGTTCCTGGCTTTAATGTATTCGCTTCAAATTACAATACACCTGTAATGTATTTTATCCTTTCATTATTAATGTAGCATCTCACAACGACTTCATCCACTTTAACATAATTGTTGATCAGAATGCATCCTTATGAATTATGGATAGTGCTTAATTACTAGTTCTAATTACAACACAAAGATTTCAATTACAGTTTTCCACAATAATTTTGTTAGTATTACAAATTTTGAATTCTAGAGTATCCATCCCATTGTTAGAAGCAGGTTGAAAAAGGACAAAACAAGATGTGTTGAAATTCATAATAGCTGTGTCTGGTAATTGCTCCAAACTAAGACTAATTAATTGAATTATATAATTTTTTAACTCTCAGGAAGTTAATTCTGAAGCTAAACTGTCCAGGCATGAAAGAAAGCTGGACATCCTCATGAGGATTTGACTTGAGTGCCTGAAGAGCTTGAATTTATCCTGAAACAAAAAATTCTATGTTCACCTTATATAGTTAAATCATAGTTTATGTTACTACTGTTTTCCTTTTTCCATTTTCTCAGTGAAAAAAATAGCATTTTTAAGGGCTCTGTCATTATGGTTCCTCTTTAATTTTCCCAGTCAGATTCAATTTCACAGTGATCTTCCAGTAAACAAAAGATATTTGTGAGAGAATTTGCTTCTACGATCAAATCCCACCCCTGAGTAATACTGAGTGCACAGAGCAGTGGCATGATAATTCCCAGGTAGCTATATCCCTTCTGCTTGTATTAAAGCTAAGTCAACCTGTGTTAATTTGATTGCTTCGTACATAGCACACAAACACTTGGCCAGAATAGATAATAAATACTGAAGCCTGACTTTCTGGTCATGTCACATATGTGCACTACATGTTATATACTTTAGAATCAATAAACAATTTAGATCTACCAAAGAGAGTAACAAGCACTTGTCTTAAATTACAGGAGATGAAAGTGAGAAACAGGAGATTTATTGGTGAGAATATTCTCTGTTTTGGGAATTGAGTTTATCATTTCAGAAGAATTACAGCCTCAGCCTCCAGATTAGTACAACAAGAGAAAGTAACGTGGACCTGTTACTTAGATAATTTTAAGTCTAATTTGCTTCTCTTTAGTATCAGCTGTGGTGATCCCATTGTTAATTTATATTGCAGTTTCCTTAAGATTACTGGGACCATGCTCATCAATTAAAGGTTGTATAAAAGAGCTTTCAGGAAAAAAAGCTATCAGACATTTGTAATTAAATTAACAGAATATCTTAATTACTTTTTAACTCATACGTGTAAATGTTAAAATGTAACTACACTTAACTGTCAAGGATCTTTGTTGTCTTTCCAAACTCTGGTCAGTTATAACACACAGCTCCTATGCTAAAAGTCTCTCCTGAAGAAATAGTTCATATTTTGATCAGTCTTCTCAAATACACTTGTAATAAGCACCCACTCTTAATGATATTCCATTACAACCTCAGTACCAATAATATCCTTCTCCTCCAATGCATCACTAATTATTTAAACAAACCAAATAAAGCAATGCTAGGACACAATATAATTGAAGATAGGACTTGAGTAACAGTTGAGGTTCACTGTGCAAGAGTTTATATTGTCTCTTATTATTTGAAGCCTGTCCACAACTGCTATGGGATACCTCCTCATCAACTAGAATAGATACACTATTTCAAGCTGTAATTTTGTCTTCCTTTTAGACACCATAAGCATATCAACAGATATTTTGCCCTATATGGTAGCAGTTTCTTTTTGTTCATACAATTTATTTAGTGTTTTTATTTCTATTTATCCAGGTAGTAAAAATACTGTGGGTTTCTTTTAAGATATATTATGATTATAGTTTAAGAATTCTGATGACCTAGTAAAGAGCAGTAAACTAAAGACCAAGTACACCTTACATTGCACACCAAGCTGTTCTCTGATGTCCAGGTAGAATAACATAAGATCAGCAGAATTTGGCTTCAGCCTTCTAAAAAATACCTCTCATGGAATTAATTGTAATTATTGCTTGATTTACAACAGTGCTTAAAATGGCAGACAAGATCAGGACCCTATGATGCTGGTTTTCAAGAAACAGAATTTCCTTAATCATCATATAATGCCAACTTAGAAAATGCACTCTTATGATATATATTCTCTGTATTCTCATTATTTCAATGTAACAATTTCCTTCTTTCCAAAAGTCTATAGAAATGACCAAATAATTAGCAAGGTTGCATAGTTTTTTCAATTTGTTTCATCACAGTACATGATTATTGCTGTGCCCAGTCAGATCAAGAACAATGATGCCTAAAGCCAGGACATCCTAGAGCCTATGAGCTCTTGAATATCAGATATTATTTGGATGGGCCCAACATTGTCTTTACCATTCATCTATTAACTGAACCG